TATTAGGTATTAATGAAAATTTGGAAGTCTTCATTGAGTAAGAGTATGTAAGGAGATGGCTTGAACCTTCATCAACTCCCATCCTCAGCCTCTTCTCTAGTTTTATTTACTTACTTGCTGCTGAAAAATGGATGAATGGGGTCTGCCCATGACTTGCCTTGGAGATTCACCCTTCTCTTCTTATCCTTCCGGGGTCTACTAAAGACGGAGTCCATTCAGGGTCTGAAACCCAATTCATTTCTTCCTCTTAAGAGTCTCTCGGTCATGCACAGCCCTTCTTGGGCTTCTCCAGTTGCTGCCTACGGTTTTTTCTAGTTTTATTGACTTTTTTTTCTCTTAAGGAATGAATTATTAGGGCCCACCTATGGCTTACCAGAGGGGCTCACCCATCTTTTCCTTTTATTTTGTAAAAATTGTCACTTTCAAAGGCAGCAGGTATCGCAGGTTTTTTTGGTTAAATTAGCTTGTGGTGTTGACCTGCGTTTCGCAAAATCCTCGCCCATTCCAAAAATTTAACCAAATTTCGATCAGCGCACCGTGGCTGTTGGGAACAGTATTTCAATACATCCAGATTCCTGTTTCGCTGACGCCGCTACTTTTGTTCTCTTTCACCCATCTTTTCAAATTGTCTATGATATGTGTGATGCACCAATTAAAATCCGAATGAATTGCTGATTTTACTTTTCAAGCACGTTTTTCTTACTCAGAATATTGCATTAAAAAGACAGCAATATTTGAGTTACCTCTTGTAAGTAATGGTCAAAGTTGGGTAAACTACCTGTTGGTGTTTTTTGCGATTTAAGTCCATTTTATGGCCAAAAGGTTGAAATTAAATGCAAATCTACCACTAGTAATTATCGTGCAATCTACCACTAGTAATTAGTTTCCAGGCATGTTCTGCTTGCTTCACTTGAGGATTACTAATAAAAAATGGAGCAAGTTCAGTGCTGTCTATCTCAAGAAATAGTAAAAAAATATCATAATTTTACAGTTTTAAGCATTTCATGGGCCTCAAGGGCCAAATGTTGAAATTAACGGCATTTAACCACTCTCTTGATGATTTTATTTTTAGACACGTTTTGCATGCCTTGAAGATTATTTGGTAATGAATTGAGCTAGTTCAATGCTGTCCATCTCAAGAAATAGTCGAAAAATGACACAAGTTTACTGTTCTTAGTGTTTTACGGGCCTTTCAGGACTAAATGTTTAAATGAGAGGCACTGGAACCCATTATCCTATTGAATTTTTGTATTTCGGGGAGGATCCTTTTAAATTGAATCGCAGCCAAAAATGTTTTGCACCTCCAAAGTTACAAGTAACAGAAGAGAATAAGGTTTTGCATTCTTTGAATGCAGGCAAATTTTTCTGGAACATTCAAGCAAAGTACCTACGCTAATGAAAGCAGTTAAATTTTTTTAAACATTTTTTAACTAAATCTATATACTTTCATTGACATTTTGTCAAATGTTTGCTTCAATCTGACAAGAAATGGGACAGGGGTGAATTAATTTGTTTAAAAAAGACACTCTCTTTTTCGGAAAAACCAAAAGTTGCCTCTTCGAAAATTCTCATACCTTCAAAAATTGATATCTCAGTGAGTTTTGGATTTGGGACCTATCATTGTAGAGAGGTTAACCGTTCGATGGTCTGATCAAGAAAAAGTTCATGAGCAAAATCCAAGCCTGTTGGTGTCCTGGCTGGCAGGTTTCAAGTAGAATGACCCTGCTCAAGTTCTTCAATTATCCAGCCTTTTATACCACTTGGGAATTTGTTATCCATCTTCTAATTGGTAAAGGCTGAAAAAGCAAAATGCTACAAAACCATATTATGTCATTGTCGACCCGTGCAATGAGGCATATCTTGTCTGTGTTTCAATATGTTTACGAATATTTTACCTTTTCATGAGGGAAGCGTTGCAAGAATTAGTCTGGAAATTTCAGGGTTTTTCCTCAAAAGGGTAAAGAAAAATCCCTAGAAATTTCAGGAAAGTTTATGTGGCATTTTTCATACAAACAAATTAGGTATATTTAGGCTAGCAATACTGAGCTGGTAACTCTGGAAGGGAAGTTGGATCAGCTCATTTCGGACCGCAATCTTCAAGGAAAGAGAGTCATCGTCGTGCTGAATGGGGTTCTTAGGAATCAAAGAGTCTACAAAGACAACAAAAGGACTCAATTGTTTAAAAAATGGCAAAGAAGTGTAACAGCTAGTGAGGTAGACCCAAGAAATGCTATCTGGCGAAAATTTGCTGGAATCTCGATGAGAAAATGTATCGGAAATGAACATGTCTAAGGTATGTTAGGGGCATTAAAATAACAATAGTGCACAATGTCACGACCAACAGTTGGTATGCTATGGCCATATGCAGAAAATGGTTGATACCAGGTTGCCAAAAATTTTCTGAATTAGGTTCCTCGAGTTAGGCATCATAAAGGGTATCGTAAAGGGCATCGAGCTAAAGGGTGGATAGGATGGCATCAGAAGAGAGATGGAAGGATGCCAGCTTCTATCTCTACCTAGAAAGATTCCAGTAGCCATTAGGTGTCATAGAGCGACCTAGTGCCTTGTATAAAGACAGCGTAAGTCCGCAATCACATATCTCGTTTGCAGTGTCTGAAAATCTCAGCCTCTACATCATTTTTTTAAAGGAGAACAAATTGACATAATTCCTTGAAGTTTATGCAGAATTTTCTTAGCACAGAGAAGAAAGATCATGGCAGTTTTAAAGAATGGCCGTTAAGTAATTTTCGGTTTAAAAAATAAAGTATGGCAGGATGTCTGCGACGTCGCAAACCGAGTGATGTGATTCCCGACTTACACCGTCGATAAGCAACTTCTGCACACTTGCATACAGCAATACTGAAACTGCACAATGTACACATGTTTCTATGTGTGGAAGACGACAATTTATTTTTTTTTCTTTATAACTTTAATTGAGAGGCTTGGAAGACAAGTCGCATATAAGCAGTTTGTATCATTTCGAAAAAATGAATTTCAAGTTCTGGCCTTTACTCGGACCCACAGAGTGCTCCGAATACCTTCAAAATTTACAAGTGTTTGTCTTACACCATCATGAACGTCTTCTGGAATTTTCAGCTCAGGTGAGCCAAATTGAGGCCAGCAATTGGGCTTAAAGTGACAGTAAGTCGCACGTATCCCACATCCCCTCTGAACGAAAAATGCACTTATCAGGTAATTCTCTGCTATTTCTACTATTCCTGTCACACGGGCTTTTCTGGCACACATATCAATCAACAAAGTTCAGGTAAATTATTTTTGATACAGAATGACTCTCTGCGTCAGACGCATTCTTGGAAAACATCTTAGAACTGAACCCGTTTCCTAGCAGGCAGAGAAGGGCAGAAAATCTCAACTCTGTCCCTGTCACACAACTGAGGTTCCACAATTCAAACGGTTGTAGGGTGATAGAAACTGAAGCTAACCCACTTAAACTGGACATTTTTAGAGTGTATGGACCTTCTACTTTTTATTTCTTTATTCTGCTTTAAGAATACTGACAATATTCCGGTCGCGAGGCGAGGCAGAAGGCTTGTCACAAGGTTTTCACCTCAACTCAGTCCCCCTACTTTTTGCTTCATATGGGAGCCATCAGGGCCGCTGTTTGTAGAAAACAAGTGGTAGCTGTTATTCAGTGTGATCCTCTTACCTTATATAATATGTGCAACCGCTGTGATAACTGACAAGAACGTGTTTAGGTATTTGTTTTACGTATGAATGTAAAAATCATCCTGAACCAGCTCAAGTCAGTCCCTGCATTATTATGAGGTAAGCATCAACAAAATTCAACTATTTGCCCATATTTAACGTTATACTTGGTTCTGATCAAGAAGCATGTTTTGTTATGGCGTTAAACATGACCTCAAATTGTTTCTTCCATCAAAATAAACTGAATTCTCAACTCAGTTCCCTAAGTGTTCAGTGTGTATATGAACTCAATACAAATAACCACCAGGGAAATAAAGAGATGGGCAGGAGGAAATTTTAGTTTATTTCAGTTTTTATTCTTAAAATCTGCCCTTCTTTAGAGATGATTAATTTCCTGACAGTTTAAGGGCTTTTTCTACATAGATTCTTTGAATTTACAACACATATCAATGGAATTTGAAAAAATTTGGGATGATAATCATATAAAATAAGGACAAAAAAGCAGGACAGAGTTGAGGTTTTATCCAGGTTGAAAATTTCTGCCTGCCCGGAGGGAGACTGAAAGTGTTTCTTGTAGAAACCATTGTTGATTCAGAGTGCCAAATTACGTGAAGTTTGAGAAAAACACATCTGTCAAGGCATCTTTGAGAGTTCATTTCGAGCAGGAATAGTAGAAATAGCAGAGAATTACCCTATCCCATTCACTGAATTCTTCGCGTCAAATGACTTCCACACAAAATCGCTTGGTATTCTGATAGACCTAACCTTCAACTACCAAAAAAACCGCACAACTCAATTTTGATCCAAGACATGCTTCCGAGCATACGATTTTATTTGTACTTCCATCCTTCCTTTATCAACACGGAAAACACGAAACGGTCCGGAATTCTGCTTCCCCTTTGCCTTTCATTCCTGTTTTATCTACTGTGCGTAAAGTCCAGTCGTTTTCTTGCATCTCACCTGTTGAAATACAAGCGAAACAAGCTACGGCATCCAGCTGAGGTGACTGGGCTCTAATCTCTTGTCTCAAATTTATAAAACTGCACTTATGCGCCTTATCTTCCAATCCCCTCCATTTGAAACACAAACTACTAGGTATTAAGTGTTTGTAACGACAATTTACATAGCTAAGTATTATTCTAAAGAGTGGGAATGTTTCCGGTCCAGAGCATTATTGAGAGTGAGCTGTTTCCTGTGCGACTGTTTCTCTGAAGTATTTAAACCATTACAGTAAAAAGATCTCAAGTGGGTTGAGGAAATTAACAAAAATCATCAGGATTCATCATACTTCATCAATTGGGGTAGAGCAGGTAGAGAAATAAAAAGTAATTTACCTGTTTCCAAAGTTATTCCGCCAAAACTCAGCTGCATCACTTTTGGTTATCCGAAATTGGTCACCCGTGAAGATGCCGTTGGGAAAAATTGCTTTTAATTCACTTAACATATGACTGAACACTAGACTAAGCTTTGTCAGATTCCTGCGATAGTGTGAACTTTCATCGTACATCTTCTCCTTGCCCTCTTTGAATAGCTTAATTGCTTGTTTACATTTCCGCATTAAGTTAACTATAAAGACATTGAAGTGTTCATTACTATGCAAGGTCAACATTTTGTCCTCATATTTGGAGTAAATTAACCTGAGCCGTTGATAGGTATCAGGCAATATATCTAGGATGAAGGGAGGAGAATTTTTGAGGTTCATTTTGGGATGTTGACATAGTTTGACGACCTTGTCCATAAGTTTCCAAGTTTTATCTAAAGTTCGTTTGTCAGTGGCTAATTTTGGAGGAGCCATCGCATCAGTAAAAGCTCCATGTAACTTGGAGAATATTGAAGTAATGTTTTTGTGCTGAATTGCCCTATTTCTGTTATTGGCCGCCATGGTATGTAGGCTAGTCCGTGCGACTCAGCCTGAGAAACACACTGTATTCACGAAAATCCAGCAACATATTGATAATGCTAAAATCATTTATCGCGCACTGCACAAATCCGTACTTCACGTGTCATAGATCACTTACACGGTAAAATGGGAATAAAAGTGAACGAGACATGTCAGACTTAGACTTCCCTCGGTTAGCATTTTAATGTTCAGTTCAGTTTCAGTCAGAACGGTCAATCAGCGGAACCTGAACTCCTGAAACTCTTACTACAAGAACGAGAACGATTTCTAATTTCCCTTGGACCCTATACTCTGGTAAGAGCCAGTGTAAAAGTCCGTGAGCAGTTACTACTGCTGCGACCTCGCGTACGATCGTCGCAACTAGAGTACCTTTATAGACAGAGTATGGCCATTTCTGTTCCGGTTTTTCATTGGTCGCGAGCGAATAGGCTGACACGATGCTCTTAGGGCTTAGGGCCGTAAATAAACAAACAAGATGGCTGTTATAAGCAAGCAAGATTGAGGTTATGCACATTTTACATCCTCCTGTGATTAGAGTACCTTTAGAGTCCCTTTATTCTGAGAGTCAAGACAATTTGAATCCATTTCTGATTGGTTCTCGTATTTTAGGCCTCCACAGTGTCACAAACGGGAATAAAGATTACATTTTCACCGATTGCAAAGATTATAATCTATTTGAGAATGGGCCGATCAAAGATTACAAAAAACGTTCAATTTCTGTAATCTTTATTCCCGTTTGTGACATACACGAGCCGAGTTGTCTCGACTCTCAGTATAAAGGGACTCTAAGTACCTTTATAGACAGAGTATGGCCATTCGTATCTTTTTACTACAGGAAAACTGTTCCGCTTTTTGATTGGTCAACGAGTTTTTAGGCTTCATGATGCTCTTAGGGCCGTAAATAAACAAACAAGATGGCGGCTCACCGTAACCGCTCGCGACCAATGAAAAACCGGAACAGAAATGACCATACTCTGTCTATATAGGTACTCTACCTGCGATAAAGGTGAAAGGCGATTTAACAATGTTTTCGTGTTTTTTTCGTGTGTTATTCGTAGATATGCTAGTTTAAATTGTTACTGTCGCATAATTGAAATACAATCACAAGAATTGACTGTATAATAAGCTCGTAATATCAGTGTCAGTCATAAAGCGAATCCCCCTACCACCCCTATGGAACGCCGTTAGTGTCAAAACCCTTTTCTTGCGCGCGCGGAATTTTTTCTGGCGCGCGGAAAGAAAAAACCCGTTTTCGATGAAAATCTCTGAATTTCCGGAATCCGCGCCGGTTGTCGATATATTTGCGCCGTTTGTGTCAAAACTATTTTTGTCGGCGCGCCGCTTCAAATCTGTTCCGCGCGCAGAATTTTCGATATATCGATTCCTGCTCGCCGATCGTGTCAAAACTGTTTTTTCCGGCGCTGCACCAGAAAATAATCCCGCGCGCCACTTTTTCGATGTATCGAAAATTCTGCGCGCGGAACAGATTTGGAGCGCCGCGCCGACATAAATAGTTTTGACACAAACGGCGAGCAGGAATCGATATATCGAAAATTCCGCACGCGGAACAGATTTGAAGCGGCGCGCCGACATAAATAGTTTTGACACAAACGGCGCAAATACATCGAAAACCGGCGCGGAATCCGGAAATTCAGAGATTTTCATCGAAAACGGGTTTTAGTGTATTTTCCGAAGGAAATACACTATTGCGTTCTCCCCTGATGTCAGACCTGGACCAAAGACCATGTAATGAGCATCGATCATGGGTCGTAGATTACGAAAATGCATGCCGTTTGAATTCATGTTTTATATATATATTTATATATATTGCAGACGATATTATCTTATGCTGTCACAAAGATGATCTTGACAATGTTTTCCATTTTTTCAATAATTTTTCGAGCAATATCAAATTTACACTCGAGCGTGAAGTCAACAACTCTTTAAATTTCTTGGATGTCACTGTCATAAAAAACAGAGGGAAATTGATCACGTCATGGTTTAAAAAACCAATATTTTCCGGTAGATATCTCAATTTTTTGTCTGTGCAACCACTTCCGCAAAAAATCAATGTGGTGAAAAATCTTGCAACGCGTGTATGTTTGTTGACACATCCTTTGCTCAGAAAAGACAAAATAAAAGAGGCAAAGCAATTGTTGATTGAGAATTGTTACCCGTGGTCACTTATCGAGTCAATTTTTGCAGAGGTAATAAATTCTTGCTACAACGGTTTCCCCCCTCGCAAAAATAGGGAAAAAGAAGAGACGGTGGTTGGACCATATTTGTCCTCATGTTCTGAAAAATTAAGTGCCGCAATAAAACCATTTGGATTATCGCTAGTAACAACAAATAAGTGTAATTTGAAAGGGTTTAAATCAGCTCTAAAAACCAAAATCCCAAACGAGAAAATGTCCGACGTGGTTTATGAAATCCCATGCAAAGGGTGCCCAGGAGGGGTCTACATTGGGCAAACTTCACAGTATGTACATAAGCGCCTTGACGGACACAAGTTTAATAAGCATGAAAAAACGGCACTTAAGCAGCACGTAAAAGAAACAAACCATCAATTTGATTATGATAACACCCGAGTGCTAAAACAAGAGAAAAATGAGCAGGTCCGTTTAAATTTAGAAGGGTTAAGCATCCTCAAAAATAACAACGCTCTGAATTCACGGACAGAATTTTCCCATTTTGGGGACTATTTGGTAGGCACTGATACCTTTTAATTGTTACCCATTGTTTTGTCGACCATTTATTAATAGCTGTAACTCAGGCAACAATGTTTGTAATGTTCGTTAGATTATAACTATCTTTTCCTCTGGATCGGAGGACTAGGTGTTTATTTCTCGTTTTTCCTTGTTTGTCGCCTCAGTCTCTGCCTGAAGATGGTGCGAATAATAAGCATCGAAACGTCGCATTAAAAATTTTTTGTTTAAAATAAATAAATGTACGGTTAAACAACTCATGAAGTTCGCTTTAATATATATATATATATATATCTCTGTTTATTTATGTATGTATTTCCGACTCATCGTGGTTTTTCCGATTTTTGCTTGGTTATATTTCCCTCATTTTAAAAAATTTAAAAAAGCGGAGCGCTGGTTTTTTTTTCTTTCCGCGCGCCAGAAAAAATTCCGCTCGCGCAAGAAAAGGGTTTTGACAGTAACGGCGTTCCATATCCCCACTTCCGACTCGGCTCCGTTCGTCGGCTAGATCCACACACATTGAACCAGCCAAGTAGGCCGTTAATAAGTCTGAAATTGAGTCCATATATGAATATTATCCAGGTGAAACATACATTAATGGATTCATTATGGCTTTGAATATCTAATTATAGCAAAATTTGCAAAAATTAATATAGATGGAATTAATAAAAGTCGAATAAACACAAGCAGTGTTGTTGATTTCTCCATAAGCCACCGTGTTAGAAATGCCGGTTTTTGGTTCACACTTCATATAAGTCAGAAATTATATCCCTGTATGAATAAAATCCAGGAGTGACATACATGAATGGATTCATTATGGCTTTGACCATCTATTTATAGCAAAATTTACACAAAGTAATATCGATTGACTTAAAAAATGTCGAAAAAACACAAGCAGTCGTTGGGACTCTATTCTCCATAAGCCACAATGATGATAAGTGCAAAAGTGCCAGTGCCGTCGGGTTCACATTTGGTTCACACTCAAGGCGGATAAAGAATGGTGGTCGCATTTCGATTTTGGCTGCCATCTTGAAGCGTTGTGACGTCAGGAGGGTACGGGTTATGCCGAGCAATCCGAGGTTGAGTCGGCCCCCCCGGCCTCGGCCAGCCCATGTACCCGATGTAGCCGATACCGTGTGACGTCCAGAGGGTACGAAATGCGACCGGGTTTTCTTTTTTTGATCGGTGGTACCGCCGATCACCAAACTGTGTTCGTTAATTGATCCGTCGGTGCTGACGTCACGACCGGTGGAAGCACGACCGGTGGATTTGGTACCACCGATCAGTGATCGGAGTGATCGGTCATTTCTCCGATCACAGCTCCACCGGTGGACAACCTAACCTTACTTCAGCCAGATCTCAGGCCAAAAACAAGCAAACAAACGAGAAATCGTGAGTATTTCGCGCCTCCCGCCGTCGCTGAGTCCGATGATTCTGCTTGGATCGTCATTGTCGCCTATGTATTGAATTATGTAATATTTTTACTGATATTTTCCCCCGTACTTTATTTGTAGCAAAAAAGGAGTCAATGCTGGTACATTGAGTATATATTTGCACTATTGCAGTATCATTGCGGTAAAGGTTTGATGAGAGGAAGAAATCCATTTGTTTACATTGGTGGAAAGTGTGTTCTTAAACTCCCGACTGATCGCGGGCAATTTCGTACCAAAATGGCGGCCGATGGATTTCCATCGGTGGATTTAGGCAGATCTACCGATCAAAAAAAGAAAACCCCTCATTCTTTATCCGCCTTGGTTCACACTTTTCGGAGCACAAGCGGCTCGGAAAGGCCCGTTAATGGATTGACTACTGATTGACTTCATCGGCGCTCCAGTACATTGCGACTCTATTGTACTCTATGATATAGGTACTCTACATTGAAGAACAGAGACGATAGGCAACCCGGGTTGCATGTAGTGCCGGCTAGCTTGCCATGGAACTATCATGGATTGACTCGTTGCGACTCTATTGTACTCTATGGGCAGCTTACGCGAGTGCGCGAGTGTCCCTCCTATAAAGCGATAGCTTTAGCTTTATCTTTATCACTTTTTGCTTTGAAACTCCGACAGTATTGCTTCTGGTAGTACTGGTAGTAAGTAGAGGTAGTGCTGCAACCAGAGAACACTTACAACTACAACGTACTTGTCTTTGATACCTTTTTTCAAATCTACTTTTACAGTTTCTCGCGTCATAGTTTCGAAATCCATCGGCTTTACAATTAATTACGTTACCTGTGTTTACGACACGTGCATCCATACAGAACTGAACTCAGCAGAATCTTACACTACCTTCGCCCTCGGCTTTTTGCTTACCACCAGCATCATTCTTCACTCGAACTTGAATTGCGCTGAAAGTAGCCCATCATCTTCACGATGGGCACACTTGTTATGGAGCCCTCCACGGAGGAGCACACGATTGCCATTGTAGAATTCAACGAGTTTTCTCAGTATTTTAAGAAAACTGTCAGTGTCCTGTTGCTAGAGGAAAACGGAGCCTATATTCCCGCTCTTAACACAGCCGTGGAGGACAAGGAAACTCAGGAATGCATCAGGAAGTTCTTGAGTGATCCTCAAGTTGCGACCCTATCCATTCAGCGAAGCATCATCAAAGGTATGCTGTTCACATTTCTTTCATCTCAAGCATGTTCGAAATTAAGATATTTGCCATGTGGAGGTAACACCAGAAATTCTTTAAGAAAGCTCTTCTCATTCCAAAGCCCCTTCGAAACGCTCAAATTGGAGTGTCAGTCAGAGTATATCAATGCGGGTATTGACTGTTGAACCTCCAAAGTTCATGGGCTGTTCTCTTCTAATCTACAACTCTGCATAATTTCTTATCGAAAGGTCGGGCTTTTTCACATGTTGATTCATTTTAATCAATTTACAAGGCAACACCCCCATCGATATCCCCAGACTGGTTCACCAGTTTGAGCCTCTGGAAGGGGCCGAGTGGCAGATACGCAGCATGTGTTCAACTTGGAGGTGCATGCAGCTCGTTGCAACAAGCAGTGAGTCCAAACACTCTGCTTGAATTCACCAGAGGTGTCGTCAGCTAAGTTAACGGTTGTTTACTTTTGGTTTACAAGGGTTTTTGCATCACTAATATCTACTTGAAAACATCTGACTCTTGCAGAAGCAAAAACACAAGCTTAGATAAGTTCTTTAATACTTTCAAACCTTGTAACACTTTAATTATTAACTACACAGAAACCACAACCACATGAAATTTGCAGATCGTAACTGATAAGTAGTTTTTTTTCCCATACGATCACGAGAGGGATGTTTCCAACGTAGATAGTAGCAATCGCCGCTTTGTGGAGAGGTCGAAATTCGTCGTTAACGCTTGCAAACTGAAAGTAATCAAGTGTCAACTTAGCTGAAGATACTTCTAGCTGTTTATTGTTTATTTTTTATGAGTTTTGCCCGTATGAAGGCTTGGCCTTAGTGCCTAGCACAAACAGCCACTGACAAGTAGGTTGGTTGAAAGATCTAGAATGGTTATAGTATTTCAGATATCTGCGCAGTACATGTCAATAATTATTGGTGGAAGTGAGTGAACTTAAAAGAGCATGCCAAAAGTAGGATCCAATCCTTTTTTTTGCTGATTCCTGGCGCCTTTCTTGCCTCTTATGAGTCAAACAGCTCACATAATGTTATATTTATCATGAAAAAACAAGAATGTTGATAATTATTCTGCAATTTCTTTCTTGTCACTTGTTTGTTGGATTTTTACAGCTTTGACAGTGATTGCTATTTAATTCTAATATCACTGACTTCCATGTGACTCTTGTATGTATGTAACTATCTCGGTGAATTTATTTCTTGAGAATAAGTCATATATTACCACATCCCAACAATAATTGTGAAAAGGGTAGTGTGTGTAAGGAATCAGAGGGACAACCAATGTGATTCTTTATTAATTATTATATTTTAGTAAATAAATAAAAGATCTCTCACTGCACCAGTTTTTTGCAGAAGCTTGACACCTCGAGGTCTAATGGGTTCATTATGGTTAGTCAAGGCTGAACTCTGGCAGGTCCCAAGAGCTCACTGATTGATCATAGCTTCAGCTGCCAGTTGTCATTAAATCAAAGATCTCAAGCATCAGCATGTGTCAGCTTTGACAGAGAAAGTGCTGAGTCCTCGATATTTGGATAATAACTGTGGTTATTATCCTTGTAAATGACGCATTTTGACAACTTTCAGTGAACTAATTTGAATGAGCTGTCACGCGATCTCCCTTTGAAGAGGAAGGTTACGAATTTAAGCACCTTTATATTCGCACGCATTCTAGTGAGGGCAACAAGTCTAAATTTTCATGAATTAGCTTTTTTTTTTACTTCAGTTTTATAAGCTTAAATATCTTTGGTCAAAATATTGACTTCCAGGACAGCTTTACCTTCTTTTTTACATTCTAGAACTCCCTTGTGTTTTTTGCGAAATTTCACTCAAGAAAAAGTTCGTAAATTGCAAGTCCCTGACTCATATGTGAGCCACATTCTGATGCCATTGCCATTTTTAGTAAGTACTCTCTTCATGTATCTCAGGTTAAGTAATACCAGCTGGTGTGGTAAAGATGTTTGCTAATTGAGAAGCTGCTTTCCTTTTATTCGGCTTATTCATTGATTACATTTTGTTGAAGTTGCTTTGTTTTTCCTCTGTTCTCAGATGAAGACTCAGAACAAGCTGGAGAAACAGATGAAGATAGAGACAAAGTCACGTATCATATTTCTAATCAAGTCCATTTCTCTAGTCCCAAAATGGCCAGGTAAAGTCAGAGACACAAATTCAATCAACCAAGTTCCAATTCTCCACCAGTGACCAATGAACCTACAAACATTATGATTGTGTCAGGGTCCTTCTACAAGAGGGAGTAAGCTGGATTACTGCACCTTAAAAGAGATGCTGCAACTAATTGAATGATACCTCTATATAGGATCACAGCTCCTCTACAGGATGTTTCAGACCACTTGTACCAGGTTTTTTCTTGGTTGTTCTAGATCCGATGAAGGCAGTTACCGCATGGTTGAATGGGCAACTAACCCGAAAGAATCAAAATTTCATTGTCCCAACCTCGCCCCCCCCCCTCGGCCTCCCCTAGAGGATCAAAGGAGGGCTGTGACTCAAAAATTGGGGTCTCCTTCAAAATTTTAAAATCATGCCGTCAAATTCAGAAAGTACAGACAATTTTGCCACTAATGTATACCAAGAAATGCAAAATCGGACCATTCCTGTCGGAAGTATTGACCCCTAAAGGTGGGGATCAGGGCCTTTCTCCCCAAAATCTCAATATAGCTAAATTGATGTAGTAACCTATAAGAAAGGTCTATTTGTAGGTTATCAACTACAAAAATTCGAATTTGACAGGCTCAAAGCCCCCCAAACATTTTCTGACATGCTTCAAACGATACCGGACTACTCGCCTAAAGCCTTTTCATCTATTTTATATTTCACCTAATCCTTTTTACCTAAAGGTGTTTCACCTAAAACTTTTCGCCTACAGACCTACGGACCACTACACCTACTGTCATTTTCACCTAACGTGCAATTTTACGTAATGTGTAATTTCACCAAGTACCGTAGGTAAATGAGGTGTATGTACCTAAAGATGAATGCACAGCTCGCATCCGTTTAAGAACTTTAGAAGGTTTTTTTCTTCTTTGTACTGCTGGTACTTTTGACATAGATTTTGCAGCTGCTCGTTTTGCTGTTTGTATTTTTTACGTTGTGGCGGTCGGACGGCCTTACCCAGCTGCCGGCCCAGGAGCATCGTCTCTACATCACCTTGTTCTTTCCGAAGCTCCTGCAGAAAGTGGTAAAAAGATGGATGGCTCTTCCCAACCAATGCGTTTAGACGACGGTTCCTAAAAGTTCATCTGGCAGACCTTCCTCAAGTAAGTCGAGGGCTTCTGCCACGTCGTCAGTTGGAACGAACGCCAACCCGAGGATACTGTGGACACCGATTTTTATTGACCTATCATTTTCATCTCGGTATTGAGCCTGCAATCCTGCATCCTGTACGTTTCTGTACACCGATTGTGCGAGGTGGAAGTAGCGAAGTCTGCTATTTGCATAATCAAAAACTGCTTGCTGCGCGTTGATGATGGCTAGCTCAAAATCACACATAATAGTTAAATCCCCTGAAGTGGCTATGTTATTATCGATGTAATATTGTTTCACCTGCATAAAAACCGTTGTATAAGATTCTTCACTTTTATTCGTCAACAGAGCGTAGACAAAAGGGTAAGCGCAATCCAAGTACATACCATGAATGACGAAAACTTGAGTAAAAATTTTCAGGGAAACTTTGAAAGTTCCGTCAGCGAACCAAATGGGGGAAGATGCTAGCTTCTGCAGATTATCATCGGTCGCAAAAATTATAACAGTTCCCTCTTCTCCTCTCGTTGCCAAATTTTTGTACAGTAAAAATCGCTCACCTTCCTCCGTTTTCTTGTATTCATCTGGAAGCTCCGTCAGATCCGTGAGCTTCATTGGATTTTTTGACAGCTGTGATTGACGCTTATTGTTCATCATCCGCCGCAATGATTCCTGCTGTGGGAGCTCTGACAAAATTTCCGAGGGCACTCCGCTCAGTTCATCTCGAATCAATCGACTTGGGCCCGCTGCTTGTTGGTCCTCCGTTTTTCTTTTCAAACTATCTCTAATTACCGCCGCTTTTGCAGCCTCCGGATTGGGCGCGTGAGTATGCTCCTTTTCGCAGCTTGCCTTTATGATCGTTAACGGATCAGACGTGGTCGTTGCTCTCCCGTTACAAATGGGTTTTTCTCGGCATATCCAATACGTTTTGTCTTTGGATTTATTTTGCTTGTGGTATAAGTACCCACCGAAGGAAAGGTAATGGCCCCCCCTCGATGTCGGGACAAGCTGCGGCTCTGTCATTTTATGTTATATTGACATTGGTAATTTGAACAAAAGATTTTAACACTTTAAATTTTGGGGAAAAGATTATTTTGACACTTTAAATTTTGATCCTAAAAGTCCAAGATTATTTCAAATTTCGATCATACGATTTAATAATTTTCTCCGATTTATTACTTAACCGATTAAGAAGAAAATTTTCTTCAGCTATTTTCATCAGCTGTTTGGCAAAATGGCAGCATGTCATTTTGCCATGTTGCCATGGGAGTACCTTCGTTTCTTCGTCAAAATGTATTTAGGCCAAATTTTTCTGTAGGTCAATAACCTTGTAGGTGAAAATTCCGTGTCGACGAAAAATGCTTTAAATGAAACTGTCTTTAGGCCAAAAATACGTAGGTGAAAAGTCTTAGGTGAAATGTCCGAGGATCAAAATCCTGTAGGTGATCATTCTTTAGATGAATAGTCCCGGAGTCGCTTCAAAGGGCTCCCAAACTTAGAAATTTCACTAAATTGCGGATCCTTTGTATCATATCCATAAATGATTGGAGGGCTTTGGGACTGTCAAATTCAGTCACCTAAGAAAACACCCTTTTCCTAAGCCATTACATCAATTTAGCAATATTGAATTTTGAGGAGGGGATCCCTGTATAGACTGTATAACCCACAAATAGGGGTCAATATTTCGAACAGGAATGGTCCAATTTTGTATTTTTCAATATTGAATTGAGGCAAAATATTCTGTATTTGCTAAGTTTGATGGAATAATTTCACACTTATGAAGTCTGGAGTCCCTTCCTCTTGGGATGCTATTCTTGAGGTGTTTGTCTTCGAGCAAGTGCAAAAATCGGAATTGCTTCAGTATCTTACTAAAAAATGTAAGGAGGCTTCTAGCCACCATCAACTGGCCGAATATCAATATCACCAATCATATGAGATTTATGTGCAAATATTTTGTTTGCAATTTGTATTTCTATGTATCTCGGATTTTTGCTCTTGCATTTTTTAAGAAATCAATAAAATATCGTAAAAAAAGGAAGAGGACTAATTTCCCACTTAGCTTAACCTAGGTTTGCCAGTTATGATGGCTTCATTTGACTTTCAATTCACCTGTTTCAGTTTGGTATTTGTCAAGCGAAGCTCTGTAATCGAAGCCGACAAGTCGATTCAGTCCCAGTTGCGTGTTATCAGTTTTAATGAAGGCTCTCCGTATGAAACACTCCATGCTTTTGTCAGTAAAACTATGGCGCCTTATTTCAAAAGCTATGTGAAAGAGTCTGGTCGAGCAGATAGGTATTCCCTCATTATTTTATTTTTATATCAACGGTGAAAGTCAGCTCTATGTATCTCTGTTGGCAATGCTGTAGACTTCCTGTGTTTTTCAAAGAAAAACTATTCAATGTTGGGCTGTCAAAACTTGCGTAATTTTTCTTATCTGTGTGAATAAAAGGTATCATGGTATCATTCACTCTTAAGAAAATGAAACAGAAGAAGAGATTTTGAAATACTGCAGTTAAGATACTTAATTTGGCAATTTGCCCCTGGGTGCAGTACTTGTCATTGAACCAAAGACCTCAGCACCAAGAAACTGGACTACATTTTGCAGTAAGGAACTAATATTTCTTGCTCTTTTCCAGAGGTACGCTTGCCTCATAGGCTGATAGGTCTCCCTATGCAGATAAAGTGCTTCTATGAATTGGCCGGATCAGGGTTGGCCCTATTTTCCCCAGCCCAAGAAAACTCGGCGGGTTTATTTGAATAAACCCATTTTAAAAAAACCTGAAAAAACCCAGTTAACCCACATTAACTAAATAATGCTATTTTACGAAAAAATTAAGACCTTGAATGACAGGAAGCTGTCTTTTGGAATTTAAAAACCGAAAATGAGTCATTACCGACAAAATGTTTGAATTGATAATATACTTAAAAGTTTTACTCTCTCATTGAAGAATGAACAATATATAATAGGGCTCCTAAACACGGTATGAATTAAATCATTATGCTACATTTTTTCTCTTCATAATTAGGAAAAAGAATCACACAACAGGAGCTTGGGAAATCTACCTGAACAAGATGAAAATATGTTTAATTCCTTAAGTAATTGGTATTGATTAAGTAACAAAAATACATATTGTGTCATTTATGTAATCTAATTTTCCCTTAATGTATGCTAAAAATCCCTGATATTTTTTTCATCAGGAATTGATCACAAAGCTTGAGCACAAAACATCACGAAGCTCTTAACCCCGCCTCCCTCAAAAGAAGAAAATTCTTAGAAGGCCCCACATTAAACGGCTAATTTTTATCTGGGCTCGTGATACAGATCTGAACAACTATGTTTTGGAAAAAAAGTCGGTTTATTTTTTCGATGTTTCAACTAAACTGCAACTGTGGAAAAATTTGCAAAGAGCCGGCACATTATTCAGATTTTTATTTGATACAGCGCAGTGTAGTAAGGCGGATAAGGGGAAAAAGTTCCCAGAATCGTGCATTTCTGGAAGAAAGCATGAAACTTTCAGGATATCATCTTTACCTATAGAAGGTTCAATTTCGCAAGTGAGCCCAAAATTCTGAGGCCATGGGGGCCGGGGGGGGGCAGGGGGCCCTGATTTCGCTATGTTTTGCCGAATTTTCGCGTTGGATCATCGTGAGAACGCCGTTAACAATGTAAAATGTGATCAAAACCTGTGTAAACGTCATTAATAGGTTCTCTCAAACAGTATCCTGAAATGCTAGCACTGTCCGATCCCGGAGCACCCCTCAAAATGCCTAAAATTCAAAATGGCGCCCATAATGAGGCCTCCGGAATATCGGTATTTTCACTTGTGCATATCCTGTCATGTGAGGTGTCGTTTTCCATGTAATTTTGGTCGCAGATTTCATATTTGAAGTCAAAACAACCCCCCGGTCAAAATTGGTGCCCCCAATCCAAGATGGCGTCCAGATTTGAAAGGCAGGAGGGTGCATTTTTTAAACTTTTATGCGATAAGGCAAGTGATATGTCATTTCCTATGTAATTTTGATCGTAGATTTCATTACTGAAGTCAAAACAGTCCTCCGGTCAAAATTGGTGCCTCAAATCCAAGATGGTGGCCAAATTTTAAAGGCAGGAGGGTGCATTTTTTCAAATTTTTACGTGATAAGGCAAGTGATATGTCATTTCCTATGTAATTTTGGTCGTACATTTCATTATTGAAGTCAAAAAAGCCCCCCGGTCAAGATTGGTGCCCGAAGTCTAAGATGTCGGCCAAATTTGAAAGGCAGGAGTGTGAATTTTTATGAGAAAAAAAATCATGTGAGATGACAAGTGAGGTATCAAATCATACGCATTTTTAGTCAACAAAACGAATCTAAATGAAATGTTAAAAAAATCTTTTACACAAAAATGATACGAGATAATTAAGAGGGTGATCAGTTTGGCCGTCCACGGTAGGAATGATGTTAACAGGAGCATCTATAATGAGCCATTTTATTCATTTTTAGGCCCATATAATTTCTCGATAAAGGTAAGGACATTTTACGCAAAGCACCTGCCGTACCCTCTCCAGTCAGTATAGGAGAAAATCCTAATCAACACATGCTGATTCACATTCCCAGTGAGGCTCTTCAGGATCTTCCTCCTACGGTTCTGTAAGTTTTTACAGTTGGAGTCTTCAGAACTTCTACATGAGTCTGAGAACGAAAATATTATTTTCTTGGTGGTACAGCATGGTGTCACTCCCTTTCTTACAATTACACCGGATAATTTTAAGCGGGGATTCCGGAAGCTGGAGGCAAGTCACTTAAAATAGGATGAAGCTCCTTGTTTTTATTCATCCATCCCCAAAGACAAGCATCCAGATCACTTCATCCCATCCACAGTTGAGTATAAAAGTAGCTCCTAAATTAATGTTACCTACTTCATTGCTGATGATATCGAGGGTAATTTCTCTAATTGAATGAAGACTTTGAAAGCTGGAAATTTTTCCTTCGATATATGATGACAGAGGTCTTCGAAAGTCACATTTTTTTGGCTACCATTGAGGAGTAATATTTCGGCGGTTAAACAGCAAAAGTGCGTATCTTGGTTGCAGGATTTCAAAATATTCGCTCCTATTTATTTTTTGAAAGGGGACCAAACCAACATCATGGCTTGACATTTTTACAGAATATTCCCCACATAGAGAGTGAAAACAAGCAAAGTTTTCAAGAAATGACTCCAGTATTTTTTAATGAAGGTACGGAAGTATGACAAGAAGTCTGCAACACCGCAAACCGAAATAGTATTTAAGCAGTTTCACCATCGATTTACTCTTTTCCAGTCTTTATATCCGTTCATGGTTTTGATTAGGTTCCAAGAACCTCTCTTTAGATTCTTGCTAGTAAGGATCACATAAAAGCGTATAGAATAAAGTTGCTGTTCCTATTTTATGGATGTGAGGGGTTGAATGGCAACCAGTAAACGCATGCAAGAACAGCTATCATCTCGGATTTTGTGCGTTTAACATCACTTTGAAAACGTAAAGAAACATTGGTGTCTGCTCATCAATTTGATGGAACATAGGTTTGTGCAATGGATTCGTAAGTATGCCTATGCTTTGATCACACTCGATGGAGTAGAGACCCACCAACTGAAACCGACTGAAAGTTTTCTAAATTATTTTCGGTACTTACTGAGTTCGCCCTTGAAATTTCAAGCGTATTTTTCACTGAAATTTCAAAAGGCTTTTTATTTTTCAATTTTTTTGAAAAATTGAATTTTTGTTACCAAAAATACACAAAATAAGACTTGCACATGAATTAGTGTAAGTTGAACCTCTCTGGGGAAATTTGGATAAATATTAAGTCGTGTGAAGTGTATTTTGGTGTTGTTAGGTTGCTCCGCCATAATCCTTGCACCACTTCCGCTCCCCTCACCTCACCATGCACTACCTACCGGTTCCAAACATAACCTCAAAAATTAACAAAACCGTGCTGTTTGTTTCGTAGCTGTGCTGTGATCTGTGAATACTGTGATATTTTTTCATAATTCAATTGTGTTATTGTATTGTTTCCTTCATGGGAAAATACAAAGATAAAATACGAAGAATTCAGAACAGCCTGAAGAATTTCCGTATGTTACCTAAGATGAAAAATAAATTATTCACAAAACATTAATGAAAAACATTTGCTATCACAGACACGGATAAAAATGCAGAGTAGCATTTTTGATTTATGACAAAAAAACTCAGCTAAAAATTATGAAGCACATGGCATTTGATGAAAAAAATTAATCTGACTTGAATATTGCAGCAAAAAAACAGTTTCATTTGTAATAATTTATTTTCAATTTTTGAAAAAGTCCTCTCACCTTTCTCATTCATTAAAATGTGAATAAAATCTCTCAGTCTAAGTTTTTACACTTACTCAAATAAAGCAAATCAAACCCTGATCGACTCATTCAAATTCTAATTCTTCTTGAGAGCGGCAAAATTTAAATGAGCCAATCAGGTGCTTTGCTTTGATGGAATAGCATAGGACGAGTAGGCTTTCCTTAATCAACTATTTGTTTCTCTAGAGAAAAGAGAGAGGTGTCACAATGGAACACAGTAGTCATTCATTCATGGATTCCTCACTCATAGATTAAATAGTCTCTTCATTTTATGCTTCAGTCTCGCTCTCGAGTGTGGCGAGTCTGGGAGTTCACCCTCTCCTTTATTCTTAGTTGTTTCTTCGTTTTTTCGCATTTAGGTGAAACTTATAAGTATTTATTAGTATGGCTCTGTGATTAATTCGCCTAGGAAGCACTTGTCACTAGTTTAAAGGGTACAGGTTTACCGATTATAGTATCAAAAATCAATTTTTCAAAGAAAGCTTGAAATTTCAGCTGAAATTTCAAAATTTTATTTTTCATGAAAAATACGAACTCAGGGTACTTATTAATTGTTCATCCTCTGAGTCTAGGGCATCTGAAATTGAGTTCAGAGTTTTTGTGCAGTAACCAGCAAGACACCTCACTATTAGTGGCTCATCATTTTTCACTTGTCAGCCATGATGGCAATCATCTTGATTATCTCGTTTCATTTTGGTGTGAAAGATTCTTTTTACATTTCATTTAGATTCGTTTTGTTGACTAAAAATGCGTATGAATTGATACCTACCTCTCTTGTCATCTCACGTGATTATTTTTCTCATAAAAATTCACACTCCTGCCTTTCAAATTTGGCCGACATCTTAGACTTCGGGCACCAATCTTGACCGGGGGGCTTTTTTGACTTCAATAATGAAATGTACGACCAAAATTACATAGGAAATGACATATCACTTGCCTTATCACGTAAAAATTTGAAAAAATGCACCCTCCTGCCTTTAAAATTTGGCCACCATCTTGGATTTGAGGCACCAATTTTGACCGGAGGACTGTTTTGACTTCAGTAATGAAATCTACGACCAAAATTACATAGGAAATGACATATCACTTGCC